ACTTAATCTCTCTCAGCCTTAGTTTCTTTTTCTGTAAAATGCAGATAAAAATAGCACCTACCTACTTACTGACCTACCAGGGTTGTTTTAAGGTTCAAATGAAATATTTATAAAGTGGTTTTCGATCCTTAAAGTACTATATAAATGCTAGCTACTGTTCTTATTCTTATATTATTGTTTGTGTATTGTGAGCAGATATGATCTATGTCTCTGGTGGCTTTGATGGGAGCAGGCGGCATACCAGCATGGAGAGATATGACCCAAACATTGACCAGTGGAGCATGTTGGGAGATATGCAGACAGCACGGGAAGGTGCTGGACTAGTGGTGGCCAATGGGGTGATCTACTGCCTAGGTACTTAGCCTGGGACTTAAATATGGGGGGCTGTGTTTCAGACACTGCTTTTTTGCATATGAATTCTTTCTCGCCAAAGTACAGGCTAGTCCAGAGACTTCCATTTGGTGTGCTGCTTTCATAAACTAGATTACTACTTCCTAATAACTAAGATCAATGTAGTTCTAAGAATATGGTGCAGTCAATATTTTATTCAGAATGTATGAAACTGCAATAGGAAAGCTGAGAACAAACGGGGAAATAGAAGCATTCCTCATGAGAATCGCCAGAATGGTCCTGCTTTGTGTTCCAGGAGGATACGATGGACTGAATATCTTGAATTCAGTTGAAAAGTATGATCCCCACACAGGACACTGGACTAATGTTACACCAATGGCTACTAAACGCTCAGGTGAGGAAAAGTCAGATTTGAGTTGGGACACATAGCAATGCTGATGGGCTCATTTTAAGTGACTGTCCAGTATCGGTAAGGCCTCATAAGACTAAGAATCTTGAACCATGGGTTCTATCCACTGGTTCTGACACCTGCTTTTTTACAAAGCATATACAAAACCACTTCTTTTCTTTGCCTTTGTTTTCCCCATATAAGAAGCAGTTGTCATGAAATGGACTTCAGTCTCCAGTTATCTGATAGGATGTTGTAGGCAATAGCTTAGCTGTTTTACTTTCACTGAGTGAACACTTTTTAGAAGTAGAGTAGATGGGAACAAAGGAAGAGAGACGGTGTTGTAAATGGTGTTCTAAATCTTTATGAAGGACTTTAATTGCATATTATTTTTTTTAATTCATGAAAACTGCTCATCAACCAGCAAATGTTTTTAAGTGCTTATTATATGCCAGACATGTGCTAAGAGCTAGGGATAAAAAGAAAAAGCAAAAACTGTCCTTGCACTTCATAGTATCTCTTTATTCTCCTTCTCACCTTGATGCTTTTCTTTTTCTATTGAGAAGGAAGTTAAAGGTTGAATCAGATTTGGACTAGAAGAAGTTGGGGAGAAAGATGAGAAAAAGAATCATTCTATTTCTAATTTTCTCCATCTCAGACCCTACCCAAAGGTAGGTCTTCATGTGGTAGTAGATACCCTAGGACTGTTCTGTATCCACATCCCTAGTCGTCTCAAGGTGAATTAGCAATGAGGAATGAGGAGCAGGGGTCTTTAGGTTCTATTTCTATGATCTAATTAGAACAATCCTAAATTCAGTAGTGCTTACTTGATATCTCCTGTTTTTCTACAGGTGCAGGAGTAGCACTGCTCAATGACCATATTTATGTTGTGGGAGGGTTTGATGGTACTGCACACCTCTCTTCTGTGGAAGCCTATAATATCCGAACTGACTCCTGGACTACAGTTACCAGTATGACCACCCCACGATGCTATGTTGGGGCCACAGTGCTTCGGGGGAGGCTCTATGCTATTGCAGGGTGAGGATTCAGGAACTAGGCAGGACTCATCATATGTCTAGGGCAAGACTCTGTGGGATCCAATCTTGTTTTTTTGAAAGGGGGAGGGTTTAGGAGTGGGGCATATTTTGTATTGAACACTAGTTCATCAGGGGAAGGAGCAGAGCTTTTAATGCTCTCTTTTGCTTTTTCCCCCCCCAGCTATGATGGGAACTCCCTACTGAGTAGCATTGAGTGCTATGACCCCATCATCGACAGCTGGGAAGTGGTGACATCTATGGGGACCCAGCGGTGTGATGCAGGCGTGTGTGTCCTCCGTGAAAAGTGACCAAGGGTGGAGTACCAGCCAAAGCCATTGACCAGTTCAAGGGGCAGGTTGGGGGAGAGCCAAGGATCCCTTGCAGAAATTTCTTTCTCACTGTGTGGACGGGGCGATTACAGGCACCAGTGCAGTGATGGCTATACTTATTTGAACTCCCCTATGTTGGCACCAGCTCCTGGGAATGGGTAGTTGACAGAAATGCACAGGAAAGCACTTTGAGTGACATGTGAGAGACCACTATCTTCTCACTCCATCGTCCAGGGAGCCTTTTCCTGGTATTCTCCAGCCTACCTTGTGCTTAAGCAGATGTTGTGTGTTGTGCCCGATGCCTCCCAGAAAGCTGAAGTGGGCGTGACTTCCTGGGTATTTGATGTGCCCAGCTTAGTTCACAGGGTGCCAACCTGTTTTAACATTGGTTAAATCCAAGCCTTTTTTCTAAGAAAAAAGCCTGTTTTAGTGTGCACTGGCAACTGGGGACAGCAGAACTCTTTAAGTTTCATTCCATAGGACACTAACAGCCTCAGAGAAACCAGAGGTTTCCTGTCAAAACCTACAGGCTGGAAGACTGGGAGATCATCAGACACCCTAGGGACAGGAGTGCTGCTGAAATGAGTGAGGGTAATTGAAAGGAATCCAACTTAATATAGAGTGTGACTGGACTTGGAAACACTCGTTTTATCCTGGAAGAATAAGATGGTGTACCCATTCAGAGATCCTTCTCCCCTGTTGTGTGTAATGTAGAGCTTTGTTTCTCTTGGTGTTGGAGACTAACATCTGGAGGAAACAAAACAAAGCAAACCAGCAAAGCAAACCAGTGAATGTCATCACTGTGGAAGTGGAATGTGCTAGGGGAAGATCACTGATTTTTGCAATCAATTCACATGCTGTTTGTCTATATCAGGCCCCATCTCACCATGGCAAGGTTTGCCTGGAATGGATAGAGCCTTGTTTTCAGCAGGGCTCATCCTTCAGAATGGTTCTTGCTGCTGCTCAGTTTTATCATTTTTTTCTTCCTAAACTGTTCCCAACCTCTCCTTGAAATCAATGTTTCCATGTCCTAGTGCTGCATAATCAAGGACAAGCAGAAGTGTTCTGTTAGGCTTTCTGCACCTTTGGCGGCCTTCTGAGCCATTTTACTGACTAGGCCCCACTGAGAACTGAAATGAAATGTTTGCTTTTGAGGGGTGGGGAGAGAACACAGTCATCTGAGTAAGGATGCACTTAATATTTGATCTGAAAATCTACTTGGGCCCCTTTCCCTGAGTCTTGTGTTTGACTCTCCTGACAGAGTTAATTTCATTTGTATTTTTTTATGGAAATATTAAAAATCACATGTCTTGAGTGCAGTGTGTGGCTGATCCTCACTGTACTCTAAAGGCCTTCATAGGAAAAAAGGGAGAGGATCAGCTTTAGGTGCCTTCTCTAGAACTTGATTTTTACCTTAATCTCTTAACCCCTGTGTACTTGCTTCAGAGCATTAGGCTCTGCTACAGTTAAAAGATAGGAAACCAGCTGCTGTTCTTTTGTAGGGATCAGAACTGCCTTCTATCATTTTTCACTAACCCAGGTCACACCACTCATAATCTGAATTTGCCCTACTGCCCTACTGAATAAGTTTACTCAGTAGGGAGGGAAGGGCAAGGAAGAAAAAGGAGGGAGAAACATCATAATATCTGCTTGGTTATTTTAGGGGTATACAGTTAGAGAAGATTGTATGCCACATCATTGTGATTGGGAAGCAAACTTCACTTTGGTCCCTACTTTCCCAAAGAATACCATAGTGGGATTTCAGAGGAGCTGGATTTAAAACCTTAGAACTTGCAAATGGCTGGTTAGATCACTCAAACCGAAGTCTGTTCTTTCTCCTATAAAGTGGAAGTAATAATTGCCCTGCCTACATCACAGGGTTGCTGTGAGGATGGAATGGGCTATAACGCAGGTGGGAAACACTATACAAACGTAAGGTGCTAATTTATGATTCCTTTTCCTAAATGAGATTTTCTTTATCAGGCCTTAACTCTTCAGTATTCTAGTCACTTCTAAACCACATGCCTTCCTAAAATCTGCACCCTTACCAGGACTATCAAGTCCTTTCTACAAGGACTGGACCTTGACAGGGAGGAATTTGAGGCTATTGAAATAGGAAGCCATCTTTGAGAAAGGCTACCAAGCTTTTATAGTCTTAAGCAACTGGGGGTCTTTTGATTCAGTGTTTAAAGCAGTTTCCAGAATTAAGTAGGTGGCAACCTGGCATAGTGGATATGCTGAAGTGAGGTAGCCCCAGAGTAAGAAAATGGGAGTCCTGCCTGATATACTAGCTGTGTGACTTGGGCAAGTCACAATCTCTGTGACCTCCACGAATATTTAAGACTGTGAACCACGCTTATGTCATAAGTTTAAAATCCCTCCCGACCTCACGAATATAACAGAGAGGTGGAAAAGATGAAAGGCTAAATTTAGGTCAGAGATCTTAGAACAATCATCCACAACTTCGTGGTTCCAACCTCGCCTGTGTAGTAACCCAAATATAAAACGGAGACACCGTTTGTAGATCTAAATCTGTGACCTTGGGCTTAAAAGTGTTCATAGATGTTAGTGGTTATGGATGAGAGAGAGATATGGGGTAAAAACATGCAATTGTCTCTTCAGGCGTCCTTTTCTTCACTGTACCCAAGGCCCTAAACAGTAAGAGAAAAGGCAGGCATCTTTTGAACCGCCTTTAGGTTCAAACCTAGGCTGCCAGGGAAAATAGATGGTCTGCATTTTCTAGCAAAGCTGAGCTTGCCAGGGAGAGGTAGGGAATGTAGGGGGGGGCGGGGAGGTCTCGTCGCTGTGAATGTTATGTTACACACACACACACACACACACACACACACACACACACACACACACACACACACCCACACCCACACCCCCCAGCTCAAGGAAATAGCTGCAAGGAGCGTGCCGAAAGCGTGACGTAAGGTTAAGTAAGCCTCCATCTAGCCTAACCCTGATCGAGATTAAGGAGGTTGGGTGTTGACATCCTTGTGCATTGGCAGCGGTGGGAGGAGAGTTTTACGCCGGTTCCCAGGAGTTCAGTGTCCGTGTCACAAACCCACTCTGACGCAGCTGACCACCCAGGATGGGCAATGGAGGACAGCGCCTGCGTAGAACCAAAAGTAACCGAAGACGCCTGCGCAGTTTCGGAATGACTCTGGAGACCCGAGAGGCAGCGGCTGCGCACTAAAGAAAGAAGGTGTGGAAGAAGGCTCCCACGCTGTGAGGCAGTCTGCGCCTGCGCAGTAGAGGAGGCTAAGGGAAGTAGTGGCGGTGCTGGTGGTGGCGGCAGCGCGATGGAACCGGAGGAACAGGTGAACGAATTAGTGTCAGCCGAAGGCCGGAACAGGAAAGCTGTGCTGTGTCAGCGCTGTGGATCCCGGGTGCTGCAGCCCGGGGCCGCTCTCTTCTCACGCAGACAGGTATCAGGCAAGAAGGAGCCCACCTTCCTAGCATAGAGGACTGGGCTGCTGGGTCTGGAGACCTCGCCCTCCTTGTCCACAGCCCCGCCCCTCGCGATGTAAGAGCTTTCCCTCTCTCGGTCCGAGCCCCGCCCGTCACCTCGCGAGATATCCTGCCTCTAGCTCGCGCCTCGTTACGCGAGACCCACCCTCCTTGGGTTCCGCCTCTCCGAGCTTGCGCGTCTGGTTCCCCTTCCCCCATTGCTGCCCTCTGGCGGCGCCATTATGCGCCTGCGCCCTGGCTTTGGGCCTCCCTTGACCCCGGTTTTTTTTTGTCGTGTCTCGGTTGGAACCCATAGCCGGGAATGGCCCTGACGCCTACACCCGGGGCCGGAGCCGCGCGCGGAAGCTACCCCGTGAGGGTGGGGCCCAGGGTCCGGGAGCCTTTGAAGTTTTGGGGTGCAGAAGCGCGCCTTTTTGGTGCCAGCGGCCCAAGGCCCCGAGTGAACCCCAGGCCGGACCGGGTGCCCTGGCGAGGCCTCGCTGCCAGACACCCAGGAGCCACGTCCACACCGCGGCCTCGGGCCGGACTCGAAGCCCTGGAAAACTGAGGGAAGGGACATTCTGAAGATGGCCTTTCCCACCTCACCCCCTAAAGAATTCTTCTTCAAAAAATAATTAACCTTTAGAATTTGGGGGTTCTTAGTATGAGGAATAAAAACTTCTTATCAGTCGTTCTCACGCTGTTGCTGCTGGCCCGTGACACTCCCACAATGACTGCAGCAATGGCATTGAAAAGACTCCTGTACAGCCACGCTCAGGGTCAGATTATTAAACTATGAGGGTCCGGTTGAGAATGCCGAGGGTAAATGATAGTTCAGCTCTCGAAAGTCAGTGCTTTTCTGTCTCCCCACCGAAAGGAGGATTTCACGCCCTTTGTTTTTGGGCTCCCTCTTGCTCGGCTGTTTTGATTCCTGGGTCGGTAGAGTTATGCCTGTGCTGAATAGGTCTCGGAGCATTTGGATGAGAGCTGGAGCTTGCTTTCCTCCGGTACTAATGGTTTCTTTCTCACTAACGAGCAAAGACTAGGTTTCCTAAAATCTGGAACTTGTAAGTTTAGTTCGTTTGTTACAAAAATTAAAAACGTATTTAAAAGTCCAGTTAGTAAATTACTATGATGCGTTTTATATATAGCGTATAGCAAATATATGAAGTATATAGTAAATATTACAGTAAGTTACTATAAATAAGCAACGTTTTTAAATTGAAGCCCAGCGCACCGCAGTTGGTTAGTGGCTGAGATACAGCCTTTGCCTAGGTCACGTGACTCGGTCTGATAGTCTCTTCAACCCTCGCATTTGCTTCATTTTATGGGCAAACCTAATTATACGTGTAGGGGCAGCTAGGTGGCGCCATAGTGTATGGCGCCGGGCCTGGAGTCAGGAAGACTCATCTTCTGGAGTTCAAATCTGGCCTCAGACTAGCTGTGTCACCCTGGGCAAGTCACTTAATTCTGTTGGCCTCAGTTTCCTCATCTATAAAATGGGCTGGAGAAGGAAATGGCAAACCACTCCAAATCTCTGCCAGTAAAACCCCAAATGAAGTCACAAAGAGTCAAACATGACTGAAAAACAACTGAACAGTTTTACATGAGACATTATGTTCTTAAACTAGCAAAAGTAACTTAGTCTGGGTGTTTTCTAGATCCTGTGATCTACTTTAGGTCTGGAAGAGCCACGTGTGTTTCAGTATTTAAAGAAAAAAGGTCCCATTTTCTCTCAAAAAATAAGGGAAACAAGTTTTTGATCCCTTGATGAACACCAAGCACTGGATTTATGAAGACGGGGAACAAAAGTCTCTGCCCTCAATGAGTTTACATTTTACTAGGAAGCAGCATGTTCACAGATAAATAAATACCTGACACATACAAAATAAGTGCACAGTAACTTGGAGATGACCGTAACAACTTCAGCAATTAGGAAAGACCTTTTTGGGGAAGATGGCATTGAAATTTAAAGGGAGCTGAGATGGAGGGGAGAGGAAGGAAAGCATTCTAACCTATACAAAAGTAACCCTAGAATTCCTGGTACAATTCTGTTGACTCTAATCCAATAGCATAGTTTCCCTTGATGATAAATGCTGCCACTTATATTTCACATTAATGTTTGCAGAGCATTTTACATATATCATTTGATCTTCACAACAACCCTGTGAGGCAGATGGCTATTAGGTTTCTTCAGTCTATGAAGGTTTTGGGTTTTTTTGATATGTGTAGGCACTGGATACCAGGTACCTTGATGCTCTCTGCTCAGTATTCAACCAATACCCTTAAATATCCCAACTGAAAAACACCTTTCCCATTACTTGACCTGCAGTTGAGGGAGGTCTTTGGCATTGCAGTAATTTGTTTGGAATATTCCTGTGTCACTGCCTGGTATGATAAGCCTGACTATCCAGGAAGCAAATTTAAATGGGAACATTGAATAAGAGTGAACCTTACAGAGTGGGCACTCAGCATAGTCAGTAAGTGTTGTTGAATATATATGACTAGTAAGTAATAAGAGATAGTCTAGTGAGTCAGGGAAGAGTTGTAGTGTATTGGTCCATAAATGAAAACACAGTTAATTTTTTTTGTTGTAGTAACACCTAATGAGTAATGCCAAACACATAATCTGCTTGATCTCTGTTTAATAGAGATATTATTAATGCACACTTGCATCAGGGCTTAATCTGTGGATATCAAAGCTGTTTACAAAAGTTAAATTCTCAGGGATTGCCTGAAGTCACATAGTGTGTCCCCCTGCAGATTATTATAACATGATCTCATCCATGCCCACAAGACTGAGTGTTGAAAGAAAATATTTTCAGGGAAATTAACACCCGTAAACATGAAATGGCTTCTTTGTAGTGTCATCAGAAAAGGCACCGGTGAATTAGCAAATAGATGTCTGTGTATTAGGATGACTCAGACATCTATCTGAACAAAAGGTAAGTACCGGCAGGCAGGAGTTGCCCACGAAGGGGCTCCTGAATGAAAACTAAGGAAGTCCTCATCAGCATCTATTGCATACTTCATGATTATACTTTGCAGAGAACTTGCCTACCCTGTTCTTCCTGCCTCTCATGTCTGTCAAATCACTTACCATTTAAGGACTTCCACTTGAGTTCTTTGGCCATCCCCAATGCCATGTCAGTACTCTGAAGCAATTGTCCTGTTTCACAGCTGGTTGAAGACCATAGATATACTAGAATTTAGATCTAGAAGGGACTTTAGAGATAATAGTCCTATCATTTTACAAAAGAAGAGATCACTAAAGTCTAGAGGGAAATGTGATGAGATCAGCTACTACTTAGCTGGCATTGGAAACCATGTAGGATTGGTCAAGTGTTAGTCGAGCTGACTTGGCAACACTGGAAAATTAAAGTGGTTTTCTGGTTTCTTTGATTTTCTGGACTGCTGATGGAGAATCCTGGAAGTTGGAAGGGTGGAATTCCAGGGATCTTGGGCATGGAGTCTCAAGTCTTGAGGCTGCCTCGGAATCCTAGGAACACTTCATTTAATGTGGTATATCCAGTCTACTTAGGGAATAAGAGAGCCAGGATTCTCTGTACTGCTACATGGACAAGACACCAGCAGTAACTAGAACCTTGGATATATCAAGAGTAGCACCAGGAAGCAGTCCATGAACTATCCAAAATCCCAACTCAAACTATATTCCATGTTCCCCCTTTTAAAATTGTTATTACATGAGGTGGTACAGCAGTGAGTATGATCAAGAAACAGGGTGATGTGTGATCCCATGTGACTCTGTGTTCTCTTGCATGGCAGCTATTCCTTCCTTCCATGAGGAAGAAGCCAGCTCTGGCTGATGGCAGCAACCCAGAAGGTGACTTCCTTCAAGAACACTGGCTGGTTGATGACATGTTCACCTTTGAGAACGTGGGCTTCACCAAAGACGTGGGGAACGTCAAATTTCTAGTCTGCGCAGATTGTGAAATTGGACCCATTGGCTGGCACTGCCTAGATGACAAAAATAGTTTCTATGTGGCTTTGGAGAGGGTTTCCCACGAGTGACTAAGGGATCTTCAGCAGCAGCTTTCCATGGTGGAAGCAGCAGTCATTCTGACCTGATATAACGGTTCTGCTGCTTTCTTCTCTATACTAACGTAAAGTTGTGAGTACCACAGTGTCCATTTGGACATACAAAGGGTTTACCCTAACTTGCTTCCTTGAGACTTCAAGTGCATATGTCTCAAATATTTCTCCCTGTAGCGCACTCCTCTTCCCCATTCTGGTTTGAGTGATATAGGAAGCCAGGTGCCTCCCAGAATTCACCCACTGGCCTGGCCATGTGTCTGTGTCTCTCATTCAGGTGCTATTTTTTGTTTCCTGCTGTAGGTGACAGTCAGATTTTTACTGTTCTGATTTGTTTGACCCCTTTCACCTTTTGAAATCCTCATGTGGTTTCTCATCAATGGTCTAATCCCACACTTACACCATAAATTTTTAACCACTTTCTGGCAGCCACCACAAAGAGAAGTAATTCACAAGATGTGTCTGAGATTCTCCGTTGAGTATCGGGGTGGAGAGCACGTAAAGAAGGAACCACTGTTAACTTGCACGTGAAGTTTACAGGCTTGGCTCATGTCTGAACAGATGACTGTCTGAGTCCCTTCTTCACGGAAGAATTATGTCTAAAGAAAGCATCATCAGTACAGAGTTATTGAACCTAATGGACATGGGGCAGGGTGAGAATTCTTGGTGAGATGGACATTTTCCTTATCTTTAACACTCACCATCCTAACAAATGCCAGAATGCAAACTTTCCATCCAGTTACCTGTAATCCTATTCAATTCAAGTGAATTCATGTTTCCTGACTGCTAGGAAAACCTTGGCCCTTTTGGTTTGATACGGATCCAAGAGGGCATTAAATATGAATGAGTTGGTATACTTACTTGTTTTACTCTCTTCCATGGTTTCCGTTTACTCTGTCATTTCCAGCTCATGGTACCTTCTCTCCAATGATGTATAAAGTAAGGTTTAAAGCAGCCTCCTGGGACAACTCAGGAGGCTGGGAGTTGAGATAGAGAGGAAGCACAGATCATTCAAAGTGCAGGCACGATCTCGAATGATTCAGTGCCTCACACCTCTTAGTTTGGTGCTCTGTTCCATTCTCTCACATCTTCCTTTCCTTCTCCCCTGACCCCTTTAACACATCTATAGAGTAGGCTTCTCCATAGAAGAGTATCTACAGAGAATCAAAGTGGAGCATACTCTTGGTATATTTCATGTCATCGACATGCTCAATGAATAAGGGCACTTGGTATTGCAAGGTATGTTTCAGTGCTCCACAAGGGCCAGCTTCTTTCCTCCAGACTCAATTCTTCACTTACCATCAGTTATTTATACAGTATTTCATTTCAGTTAGTTACAGATTTATTGAGGAGCAGAATGGGACATACAAACATCTCAAAATAAAATTCTGAAACAGTCATCTTCAAAAGAAGATAATTTTCTGTTGTGTCACAAAGTTATAACACTCTTAAAAGGTCATATTTTCTGGCATATCCATTAAAATGAGATACATTTAAATTTAGTTCTCTGGGTCAGTATATGCTAATGATATCTGTGATGTGTAAGGAAGGGCTGAAAAACACATTTTGTATGTTTTTCTCAGACTAGGATAAAAAGCAGGCCGAATGAGATGTATAACTGTACCGAGTATGTTATTAGGGCCACAACAGTGCCTGGGTGCTGGGAGGAGAGAAGGGAAAGGTGGTAACTACTGAGCTGGGGGTTTTTCAAGCCAAGCCAAGGCTTGCTTCTGAGCTTTCCTTGTCGGTCCTGGAGGTGTCTTTAAATGTCCCCATTTGAATGGAAGGGGTTAAATACCTGGAGATGGGAGGTAACCATCATGAATGAGGGCTAAAGGCCAGAAGCTCAAGAGATACCTCCCTGACACAGGCTCAGAAATGCCCCCAGAGAGGCCTGGCAATCTTAATTAATGTTTTACCTCCACTCAACTCTGGGTGAACAGGATATGCTTGTTCTCCCAGAGCTTTTCCATCACTGTTCACCCCACCCTCACTGGACTAGACTGTCTCTGGTTCTCATTTCAATATCATTTTGTTGTGCTAAAGGGAAAGGTATGGAAAAAGTAAATAAAGGCCCCAGCTCCTCCTCTCACAAAGGGCTCTGGAGCTTTTGGTCTGCTTGAAAAGCAAGCTGGTATAGATGAGAGCTCCTTACACCAATTTAAATTTCTGAACAGGTACGTCCCAATTTGTTGTTTAGTTGTTCAGCCATCTCCTATTCTTCGTGACCCTGTGGACCATACCATCCATGGGATTTTCTTGGCAAAGATGTTGGAGTAGGGTTTGACATTTGGGGTGACATTTCCTTTTCCAGTGGATTGAGGCAAAAAGAAGTTAAGTGCCTTGCCCAGGGTTACACAGCTAATAAGTGTCTGAGATCAAATTTGAACTTGGGTCTTCCTGACTCCAGGTCCAGCACTCTGTCCACTGAACAGCTGCCTCCTAATACCCTCCTCCAAAATGACTTATAGGGATTTGGTGTGTGGAAATAAATACACATAAATAGTAGAGAAGAGGTTGAAATTACAAAACATTAAATTTGGAAGTGGAATGAGACTGAATGAAGAAAGGAAGAAATCCAAGATACTGAAAGTTGTAAAATGTGATCAGATTTAACAAGCACTTAAAGGTCCTACTCTTCGTAGAGCACAGGTGTCAGACCCACAGCTGGCAACACTTCCTAGTGAAGCCTGAACCAGATTAAAATATAATTGGGAGATATTTAACAACATAAATAAAAATGTAACAGCATAAGTTGTTTGAATCCCTATTCCTGATGAACAGTTCAGTGGCCTTTGTTTCTATTTGAGTTAGACACCGCTGGTGTAGAGTATTGAAAAAGTTTCAGTTAAGACATGGATCCTGCCTTTAGGGAACTTAAAACCTCAAAGGAAGTTTTGACACATACCTAAAGTAACTAGGACTCAGAACAGTGCACAAATGAGGGTCAGAGTGCTACACAAGTTGGTAGAGGATGTTCCAGAGTGAAACAAAATGTCAGGGTTCCAAAAGGATTGAGGATCCCTGGGTTATTGGGGAAGGAAATAGCAAACCACTCCAGTATCTTTGCCAAGAAAACCCCAAGAGGGGTCACAAAGAAAAGCAACTAGGGGGCAGCTAGGTGGTATAGTAGATAGAGCTCTGGCCTTGAAGTCAGGAGGACCCGAGTTCAAATGCAGCTTCAGACACTGGACACTTACTAGCTATATAACCCTGGGCAAGTCACTTAACCCTGACTGCCTCACCGAAAAGCAAAAAAAAGAAAAGCAACTAAACAATAATGAGGTTGTTGGGGTATGGTAAGACACTTGGAAGGACAACTGAATACTATGAAGAGCGACAGGGGAGGGATCATAATGTTCAGTGGCATCAGTGTTGCCAACTAATATCTACATGAGGAAGGGCTTCCCCCTCCTCCACACCGAATGGTAATAAAGCGGTTTTTAGCTGTGAGTGCTGCCCGCCTTTAGGAGAACAGTGGAACTTTTCCCCTAGTAGTAGCAATGATGGCTGAATAATACCGTACATTTCTAAAGCACTTTATCCTACATTTAAAGCATTTTCAAAATGTTCGTTTTCACTGAGTCACTCATGATCTCTCCCCGTATTTTTGTGATCAATAACATTTGTAAGTGCAGCTTTGAAAAATTGGGGATTTTTTTCTGATACACAAATTGCCTAGCATTGAATCTGGGGCCTTCACCTGCTGGAGGTGCTGGAGAGAGATAATCATTTGCAAATATTTTATGGGCAAATGGGAACATTGTTCTAGTGCTACACATCAGTGTCTTTGAATACACAAATAGAGTTTGTAGCTTCTTGGTCAAAGAGCAGCCAATCTGAAATCAAATGACACAATTGAGACACCACTGTTGAATCTTCCCCAATTGTTCCCCAACCTCAGTTCATTTAGAGTACTAGGATGGGCTACAGGACTTCTTCACAGCTAGAATTTTGGCTTGGGAGAATGGAATTTAGCCATCTAAACCTGACTTCGTAAATTGTGTACACCTCAGCCCATCTCATACACCACTACCACCTCCCTGCCTGTCAGTATTTATCCTTGAGAAGGACATGTGACCATCCCTGGGAGCAGTGGGGTGGGAATGGAGAGAAACTGCAATTTCCGTTAGAGGCTGGAAAAATATTAAAGGCAAATATATATATAGGCGATCATTATTAAAGGGTGGAAGTGCTTTATGCAATCCCTTGACGAAGCTGAATGACCCTTCATTCCCTCATTAGTCTGCTCCTACCAAGCAGGGAATGGACTAACTGGTTAACCAGAAGGGACAGAAATTGCAGACAGATGTGCTCTGGATAACAGCTGAATCAGGACTGTGAGGTGGGTGTGGGACTCAAATTGTGAGATGAACCAACCTGAAAACTCTAAAGATTGACAACGAAATGACAATGGATGGGCTTTTCAGTAAAACGCAGATAATTCCGAGTGTGTTCGGTATGTTCCCAGAAAACCGTCCCTTAGAATAAGGTATTTTTAAAAAAGAAAAGCCAAGGCACTTAAAAAAACAGATCATTCAAACGACCCAACAAAGAGCTTCCCAGGGTGCATTTTGGGGGCAAACTCAAAACTAAATTCTAAGGTATGCATATATTGGCAAGAATGCGAGTAGGAGGGAAGCCAAACGCCAGCTCATCCCTTGGACTGACCTTTATGCTTCCCACATGCACGAGGCGAGGTAAAGACTCAGGTCTCGGAGGAGACACCTTGGTCTCGAGGTGTGCAGTCTCCTCCCTCTCCCTATTACAAACTGCCCAATGAGCAGCTGCGGCGGGGATATTTCATAAGCGCTGTCCAGTAAGGGAAGGAGGGGCGGACTTCTTTGGGAGCCCGGCCCAGTGAGAAGAGCGGAGAGTGGGGCCCAGCTCAGGAGGCAGCCCAATGGGAGCCGAGATGAGGGCGGGGCCCGAGGCTCGGCGGGGCTATATAAGCCGCTGCAGGAGGCGAGCGCCCTCCGATTTGCTGTGTTGGCAGAGACCCGTAACCTGTCTGCGGTCAACAGCACCCTCCCATCTTCACACATCGGAGCAACCATGGTGAGGGGAGGACCGTGTGGAAGGGTCCTCCTGGTGGGAGGGGGCAAAGGAGCACTTTCCTACCCACGTCTCAGGGACTCCGTTATCGGGAAGTCCCGGGGCCGTGTTACAGCCCTCGCACATGGGGTTAGGGCGAGATGAGTTGCGC